AGTAGTAGTAGTAGTACGTAGTGTAGTGTCGTGTGTGTGTGTGTGTGTGTGTGTGTGTGTGTGTGTGTGTGTGTGTGTGTGTGTGTGTGTGTGTTAAAGAGAAAGTTACTCACTCCATCATAGATGTGGGTATGGAGCAGCAGTCCTGTATGGCAGTGAGTGGCGAGGTGAGGTGGGCGGTGTACGAGGCCTCCACCACCTGTTTGTTCCGGTTCACCACGTCCAGGTAGCGGTTAAACTTTTCACGGATCTTTTTGGCCAACTGCACACAAAAAAAAGACAAATTATTAAAAAGACAGTTATAAGAGGTGACAGCTAAATGTACCTCTTACGCTCTTAAAGTCATAAGTACCTAATTAAACCAACAGTTCAACAAAATATCCCTTTTAAAGTAGTTAAAAGATTACAACCATCACATTTAGCATTCACACAAGTATGCACATGCAGATCCAGTAGTAATAACCGGGATAAAGAATAATTGACAATGATTACAAATAAAAGCTCATTTGTGGTTAGAAGTGTGGTTTGTTTAGCTGTGGTTGCAAGTTGTTGCACAATAATGACCCTGAGGACACAAGAATAAAGGAATCAGACACTGCCTTCCTTCTGTGAATTAGGAGTTATTAAATATTGCAGTGAAAAGCGGGATCGTTCAGATAGTGCCTTAAAAAAAGAATTTCCCAAGACTTCTGCAAAGTCTTTTTAAGTATCAGTTTGTTTTGTTGGGTATTGGAAAAAAAAATAAGATCAAAAAACACAATAAAAAAAATTGTTAGAAACAATAAATGCATTTATCAAAGTTGAAGTACTGCAGTGTCAGCGAACACTTTCATATGTACATATAAAACAGATGTTCACACAAACACCCCAAATCAAATCAAATCAGGTTTTATTTATAAAGCACATTTTAAAACGATTTTTGGTCAAGACCAAAGTGCTGTACATGCAAATAATAAATAACACATTACTACATTCACAAAGAACAGAAGACGATAAATTACCACAACAAATATAAAAATCAACACAGGGAATTGTCCGTAGTCATACTCTGCTGTCATACCCCAGGTCAGGACACTCCAATTGAGAGAATTTCAATTTATCCTTTCATTTGTTGTTACCTTAAAGTGGACCTATCATGCAATATTTGAAACGTATATTGTTGGACCATACCTATACAAAACATGTCTGTGAAGTTTTTTTTTCAAAATACCAAACAGTTCACCCATTGAAGCCATGCCTCATACTGTTCAAACCCCTCTTTTGAAGCCCTGTTAGAGAAACGCGGATCTTGGGTCCTTAGCTTGAAAAAAAGAAAAGAAGAGGAGGCAGAGCTAATGCCTGATCAGAATTCTACCGGAGATAAAGTTAAATTCTGCTGTGATAAAACGCCATCCTGTTTAAACCACGTCAAGGATTATTTCTGAAACAGTATGGAGCTCAAATGCTTTTTCTCTAGCGGGTTTATCACAAGGTGAGTTCCCTTTTTTATTTCTTGCTTTTTAAACAAATGTGCTCTACACAGTACAGGTTAGCTCTGAGTGTTAGCGAGGCTTGCTAATGTAAACAAAGACGAGATTACGTCCAAAACACGTCAGGCATTGTTTCTGTGGGTCCGCTGCGGATTTGACGTCAGTTCGGATGGAATCTGTATCTGCTCGTTGTACACCCGTTTTTAAAAGATTTGGGTACGGAGGAAAAGAGAGAGGGCTTTATTTTCTGACGCCGTGCGAGTTCCCACATATGTATGAATAAAAGACATCACAAAGTGCATTTTGCACGATAGGTCTCCTTTAAATCGGTTATATGCATAAATACAGATGAATAAACTGACCTCGATCAACTCTATTTGTATTTACTGTAATTTATTCACTTCTTACTCATTCAATATGCTTATATTTTTCAATCTCAATGTTATACATTTGCTACTTGCTTATGAAGTGTATCTCCTCTTTATCTTTTTTTTGGAATAAGTATAAAAAGCTACCTCTAAATGTATCCCACTAAGTACCAATACCATGATGGCTCTAAAGGAAAAGCCATAAATTGTACATACAAAGCACACAGCACTGTACAGAAAAGGTTACACTGCAAAACAAACCTAACTTGATTATATTCATGGTTATAGCTTAAAAACAAGAAAACTGAGACAGACATGTGTTTGAACACACACTCAGTCAGTCCTCAACATCCATGCAAACACATGTACACAAACAAGTTCATAAATCCAAATGGAGCTAAGCAATATCAAAGATGCCCAGCACTCAGGCCGCACTAAGTGTGGAATCCATCACTGTTAAAAGCCAAGCAGAAAAATGGATGCGTGAGAATAAAAACCTTTCTTTTTCGTAGTAACCTTGCAATCCACATTTAAAATACACTATCAATGATTTCTCTTAGTCTTTAAAAAAAACACTCCTTTTCAAACAGAAAATGTGTGTAATTTACCTTTTATAAGCATGAAAACAAGGAGACAGGAAGAAGGGAATAGTGGTTCTAGACAAAGGCAAAACGGCTTATTTAGTCCGTGTTTACTGGGGCCCTAATGAAGGCCCCTGGACAGACATACATTATGCTTTGTCTTTCTTCCTCTGAAAGACAGGGTTCTGGTTGAGCAAACATCTCACAGGGCTCTTTTTGATATGGGGTTCCAGCTCCTTTGGGGGAAATAATGACCAGTTCTACAGTCGCCTCCTGGGGGACATGAATAACCAGCGCACCACCTCTTCACACCAAGGTTCCTGTTCTTTCTTTATTTTGCCATGAGAGGATTTGTGAGCAACACATGCATGTAATCTGTTACAGATTGTTCACTTCATTTGAAAGCTTTACCATGTTCTATTAGTTTACCAAAGATATGTTAAACTACTAATCACTAGTATGAAGAAGTGACTTTAGGATTAGGCTACCCTGTCTCTAGATTGTATTTTATTTTTTAGCAACTTTGAGTGATTTGAAGAAAGTTTGGTACATAATGAAAACACAGAAATATTATTAATTAAGGTTTTAAAAAATGTAGTCTTTTTTTGAATGACTGAATGTTTTGGCATAATTCCCTAGTTTTCTTTTTACATTTCACATTTAAATTGAATTATGTGGGGTCCACCTACTTCTAGAGAACTCAAGAATGAGTAAACGGTGCACCCTGAGCTGAATTTCGAGAATTGTCAGAATACAATAAATGTGAAAGCGTTCTTAATTTGATTGTTCAGTTTGTTTGAAAGGTTTACATTAGGAGGGATGTGTGCATTGATTGCAAAAGTCATGCAGAAAAAGTTAAAATGACTTCAAGAAAAATGGCAGTGCTCTGAATTCTTTCCTAAGCCATTGTAAGTTACCTTCTCAGCCTTGTTGGATACAGAGAAATGCTTATTTCCACAGTAACTGGAGCCCCTTTGTTCACATCCCATAATTGCAAAAGGCTGCGATTCAAGCCAGGAAAAAGGAAATGTACCGCGACCCACTGACCGCTTGTACACCTAATCAGCCGGCCAGTATTCTTATTACGGGTTTAACAGGGCCTAAGGCACAGCCCACAATTACTACTATTCTACCACAAAACACACACACACACACACACACACACACACACACACACACACACACACACACACACACACACACACACACACACACACACACACACACACACACACACACACACACACACTTAAATACACACACGTGGTTCGCCCCCACTCATAGTAATGTCCGTGCATTGCAATTAGCTGCAGTGAATTTTGCATTAAAAGGCAGAAAATAGGCCAGTGTTCAGCTGGGGAGTGTTTCCATAGCTGGGGGGGAGAGAGGGAGACAGAGGGAGAAAGTAACAGAAACACCCCACTTTAACAGAGTGACTTAAGAGGGACCAGAAACTCTGAGCTGTGCAAGTTGAAGCTTATGTTACAGTCTGCCACGGTGCAGCCAAAGCAAACCTGCGCTCTCCAGATTAACCGCACTATTCCAAAACACAGGTTCCTCTCTCCGACCCTTCTGACCAGCTTTCAGGGCGAACAGCACCCAGTGGGATCGGTGCAGCCGCAGAGCTGGAGTGAATGGAGCGGGTGCACCCTGACGTCTTGTGTTGGGAGTTTTGAGGTTTGCCAGACGGCCTTCCACCACAGTAACTGGCAGTGGTGTTTACGGCAAGACAAGTGCTTTACTTTCAATAATGATTTATGGGATGAGTGTTACAGGAAGAGGCACTAGATTTCTGCAGAATTAAGAAACTGTACAGGATCATCGATTAATTTCAAATAAGTCCATTAGTCTGCTTCCGCAAATAGGTTTACAAAGCTTCATTATAACAGTTTTACTGCCAGAAAAGTTTGTTAAACCTCCACACTGCTGACTTTCTTCACTTCAGTGATGTCGATGCATGTTTGGCACTTCACACACACACACACACACACACACACACACACACACACACACACACACACACACACACACACNAATTTCAAATAAGTCCATTAGTCTGCTTCCGCAAATAGGTTTACAAAGCTTCATTATAACAGTTTTACTGCCAGAAAAGTTTGTTAAACCTCCACACTGCTGACTTTCTTCACTTCAGTGATGTCGATGCAAGTACTTTGCATGATATACCAATGAATGAATACATTTGCCAGTTTCTAAAATGATGTATTACCGGACGCTCCTATTTTGTGGAACAAACTAAAAATATAGTTACAAAAGGTTCAATTATAACAGCTAAATACGACAAACTGTGTATGCGATATCAGGCTAATGCTGAGGATTTGTTTTAATAAACTTCTTTATGGCAGAAAAAAACGATATACATGTGGTCTCTTATGTCTATAACAGATATCCTAAAAGCAAGAGTAAATGTAGTTAAGAGATAAAAGGGTGAACACAACATGTAGCAGTGTAGACCTGACAACCAAAAGCAGGAAACACTCAAAATCTCATTCCTCACTTGAATGAAACAATTTGTGGTTGTCCTTTTCCTGCCGTTTCCTAAATGTCACCTTGTGAAGACTACATCTACCCTGAGTTACCGTAACAATGAAGCAGTTTAAGGAGCTGACTGTAACGCACTCAAAAACCACTACGGACTAAAACCACCAGACTCAGGGACAGTTTCATCCCACAGGCAATAAGACTGTTAAACACCTGAAGTTGAACTGTTGAAAACTGTCCCTGAGTCTGGTGGTTTTAGTCCGTAGTGGTTTTTGAGTGCGTNACCGTAATATTTGTTGCGTCCTTTATCCCCAAAAATTGAAAATAGTGGTTATATTTCCAA